TATTGAATGGCATTGAAAACCATGAAATATACGAAAAGACACAAAATTATATTGAATACTAAAACCAAATATTTAAACTATTATATATACTTTAATAAAGAAGGAAAGGAGGATCTTATTAAATCAATCGAAAAGAAGTCTTTTACTAGGTATTCACTATAAAAACTTTTACGAGTATGTTTACGCTCAATTTAAGAACCGTGTTGTATTTCTAATAAACAATTTTGGATATTTGGGCTAACATCAAAAATATGGTATCTAATACGATATAAGTATCCGAATATGAAAACAGACAAAATATGATTTTATTCCTCTTGTTGATTAAAATACTTTAGTTTTAAAGAAAAATTAAATAAAACAATAAAATAGCTATTAACAGTAATCACATATCCAATTTTCAAACTCTGTATTTGTTCATTCTTTACATGATTTTGATAATTTTTTATTCGTCCCACAATTTTCACTTTTATTGATTCTTCCTTGTACCAGAAGAATTATCTTGACAATAAATAAAGCATATATATATATATATCTCAAAATAAAAAATACAATATCGTGCTTTTTTTAAAGAAAAAAAAACATAGTTTCATAAATACTTATAAATATTATAATATGTCAACAGTGATAAGAAAAACAAATAAGCATAATAAAATAATAGTAAATTATGAAAAACTATCAAATTAGACAAACTATCAAATTTTTCCAACAACGATGCAACAAAATGTTTTTGTTATGTTACTAACGTACTATGTCAAAATCAATAATATAGCCTGTGATCATTTCACTTGCTATATTTCTAGAAATGACACTATTCCATATTTGGCTACAACCCTCTGTCTATTGAAATATAATATCCATTTCGAGTTATATATAGATCCGAGTGTTAAATTTCTCCCAATCTCCCATTCAGAATAACGAGAATATCGTCAGCGATCAGTTGGCTGTTCGACAAATTTTTCCGAAAACGAACAGTACGTGCAAATATTGAATTTCTCGGCCACGGATCACGTCTTCTCACGATAAAAAGTTCGCTCTCGAATACGCCCCTTTACCCGGCGCACTTCACACGAGCAAGAATATATACATCTTAATAGGAATAGAGGCAGAGAGTGAACGCTCGTGCAAAATTTATTAAAACCCTCCGTCCTCTCCGACTCTTGTCTGGTTAACCGTTTAGAAAGCGGCGAGCGTACATGAATTAAAGGCGATGACGAGACGGTGAACATGTCCTATAACCGTCGTGTCAAAGGAATCATCCAGTATGGAGTTAACACGGTTAGATCCTGTCCCATGGAAGCCCACTCGAGGGTAATTAAAAAGAACGATCACGAATGGCCTGACTAAATCGAGAATTCGAAATAGCGAAAGTGGCTAGATGAAGTCGCGCAAACGCTGATCGATCCACAACTGTATGTGGGACAATCGTCCCTTGGGGTTCAATGTCCATCTCGAAAGTACTGCGACGTGAAGAAATTTATTCGTTGCGTCTGTAGTTGTAAGGAAGAGTGCCGCACGTCGCGTGCTCTTCATTTCCGTGATATTATCGTTTGAAGCTCTTGATACCAATTGTTTTATTAACAATGTTTCATTGTTTTCTTTTTTTTCATTCGATTCTTCATTGTTTCCTTGGTATGAATGCATATTTCTCTCACTTTGCGTAATATTGTTTCCTTTTACATATGTATTTATCTCATACATATGTAATAAATAAAAAATTGCAATGTAAGCAGATTAACAAAGTTGTGTATTTACGTTGTTTTGTCTAATATGTATGAATGGAATATTGGATTACAGTTAAACCATTTATTACTTTTTTGAACGTATAAAATCTATTTTACATGCATTTATTACGGTAAATATTTAAATCCTCTATTAATGCATGAATTCGAATTTTTTGAAAATATGATAAACGGCAATTTTCCTGATCACACATATAATTTAATAATACATCGTATATTCAAAAATATGTTCCACTTTTATTGTTTCTTTATTACTTTTAGAATTTCATTTAAAATAAGATGATTTTTATTAAATTAAAATTTATTTCAATGATTTTAATATCATGTATTTTTCATATTTTTTTAATAATCATGTTTTAATAATAACGAATGATTGCAATTACTTGAAATATTATATAAAATTTTTTTGTTCTTTTCCATTATTATACTCCTTGACACTAGCAAATTATATTCATTATAATTAATTATATTTTTTGCAAAATATATTCATTCTAATTAACATTATAAAAATTTTGATCATTAATTTGAAAGCCATTTTAATTATTATATTATTATACTTAACAATTAATATTACTAATAATATTACTGTTAATCTAAGTTACACTTTACATCTCGAAATTATATAATCATTCAAGTTAATCTTTAAATTAAAAGAAACTCATGTTAAGTTACAGTTTTATGACTGAAAAATTGTATTATAATAAATTTGCCTCCATTATAAAATTCTTGAAATTATATATATATTAAATTCAAATTGTTTTCGATGCATTATATATTACATACATAGAATATTTTTTTTGAAATGCTGTTTCTTAAACTTTTATGTTTTCAATGAATGAACATAATTAGCAAAAAAATAATGTTGAGCACTATGATGATGCAAAATAATGAAAACATTTTATACAATATTTATATAATATTGCAAGTAATTGAAACTATGCATTATTATTAAATATATTTTAAAAAATATTAAAATATGCGAAGCTTAAAATCGTCGAAATACATTTATTTATATTCAATAAAAAAACACTCTTTTTAAATAAAATTCAAGCATGAGACAGATTAAATTAAAGCGGGTTATACTTTTTAATCCATATCATTAATATATGCTGTTATCAAGTTACTATTTATAATAGGAGATCATGTTTAAAATTTTCGCGCTAAAACGAATCAAAATATGTGGAAACGAATTTTCCATCGCAATTTGCGTGCGAGCCGCTATATTTTGCAAAGCTCTCCCTTGTTTAAAACCAAACTTCAAATGCAAAACGTCACGTTTTTCTCGTGACATATTGTGACGGCCATAAAACATGATGAATTATTCATATATTTCTCGATAGATATAAAAATTAGTAATAACCATTTGGTCTATGAGTTTTTTGTAGGTAGATTTACATCTCAAATAAAGAGTGAAATTTTTAAAAATATTTAATTATGTTTATAATTAATATTAACATTACATATGTATAAATAAATAATTTTTACAAGATTTGATGCTCCTACTTCTATACATACATGTCAATTTTGCTTCTGAATGACAATTCTTACCAATATTTTCTTTTAAGAGCAATTTATGCAGATGAGTTGAAAACAATTTTATTAAGTATATCGAGTTTTGAATTGAGTTAAAACATAATTATAATTCATCCTCAAATAGTATACAAAACTATATAAAAATAACTGTTCAAAAAGACAATAAAATAATAAACCAAAACTATTTCCTCAACGCAAATTTCACTTTTTCATCAAAGTTGGAATATTAATCTTTCAAGTATTTTCTTAAATTTCGGAAACAAATGAAAATCATTGAAGAAATATTTCGAAAAAAAGACGTTGATTTTTTTCATGAATGAATCATAAAAATTATTGCAGCATTGGCATTGCACTAAGTAATAATTATATAGAAAAATAATATGTAATTTTAAAACTAAAGAGTAAAGGTTTGTTCCTATTGTTCTTCTTGGTCTTTCTTGATCTTTCATAAAAATATGTCTTGCCGTTCATTTTTTATTTAGATGAAAATAAAACTTCTGAGCCGAGCTTTAAATATATTATATTATATGTATCTGTATTTTTTCGTATTATGTGCATTCTCTACGATTTCGTACTTTAAAATTGTTCTGTGTATGAAAATCCGCAGTCCAGT